CAATGTCTAACAATGCCTTAAATAGGAAAAGTTATCACCCTTTACTGCTTAGTTAATGCAAGGAGAAACTGAAAGGCAGATTCTCCTGTCCGTAATTTTGACTTCTAGAAGTGAGATGCTCATGGTTAGGCCAGCTCTTCTGTGCCATGGGGAGAAAACGAGCAAATCCCTGGCCAGGCACTGGGATTTTTTGCTTTGGATATTCCTTTTTCACCATCAACTGGTGGGTTAAGTCAATTAATTCTGCTACCTGAGAGGAATCTCACATTTTTTAAATACTGAAATTGTTTTAAATGGGAAAGGTATTGGTCTCAGCACTTCCCATTAATGAAAAGAAAAATGGTGCCTTGTTTAGTGTTTAGAATCACGGAATGGGTTGGGTTGGAAGGGATCTTCAAGATCATCTAATTCTTCCCCCTGCCATGGGCAGGGACACATCCCACTAAACCAGGCTGCCCAAAGCCCCGTCCAGCCTGGCCTTGAACACCTCCAGGGATGGGGCATCCACAACTTCTCTGGACAACCTGCTCCAGTGCTGCACAGCCCTCAGAGTAAAGAATTTCTTCCTAATATCTACTCTAAATCTCCCCTATTTTAGTTTAAACCCATTCTCCCTTGCCTTATCACTGCATCCCCTAACAAAAAGTCCCTCCCCAGCTTTCCTGCAGCCCCCTTTAGGTACTAGCAGGCTGCTGTAGGGTCTCCCTGGAGCCTTCTCCAGGCTGAACAACCCCATTTGGAACCCAAACCCAATTTGGCATTCCACATCACTTGCATAAAAAGCACACATTTGCACTGTACCTGATGATTTTTAAATATATAGAACAAAATCTTGGAAGCCGCTTTGCCTTAGAAGTTTCTACATTTGAAGAGAGAAAATTCTGATTTTTTTTTTTTCCATTATTTGTTGTCAAAGCTCACCATTTTCTGTTTGTTTTGTTCCTTTGCCATCATAAGCCTCTGCCCAAGGTGTCTGATTTTTCTAAGCCTTGTATTTGGTTATGTTTCATCCTCTTTTTCTTTTCAAGTTAGCGAAGACACCCAGAGGCATTTTTTATCCTTAATTTTCTTTCACCAGGATATCTTCTTTGCTATCACCTTTTTTCTTTCTTTTTCTCTCTCTCTCTTTTTTTTTTTTTTTTTTTTTTTTTTTTAAGAATGTGGCAATCAAGTGGTTTTAAGTATTTGATCATGCAGTTTTAATAAAATATCTGTTTAGAGACGTAGCTCAGAAGAGAAATACCGGAGAAGACGATACTGGCTGGAAAGGTCTTCATACCTTAGCAGTCCTCCCATTTTTTTTTTTCTCATTATCTTCTCTTGGGAATAAGAGTGGTTTTATGAAACACCATGGTTGGGAACTTTACAACTGCTCGTAGCCAAGGCAACCACCACCAGCTTCAGGGAGTATTTGTAAATTAATTTGCAGCTCCTGGCTTGGTTGAACGGTGAGAGCCCTCACCTGCGGGAGGTGGAGGAGCGAGGATGCCCGGGGTGCTGGGATGGATGCAGGTGGGGTGGGAGAAACACAGCTCTCACCTTCAGCCCCTTCTCCTTCAGGGGAAGGGGATGTGTTGGAGACGGGGTCGTTTCCAATCTCCTACCTACTCCCAGCAGCTCTTTCTGAGCCTGGTCAAGTCCAGGGCTGTGCCTGAAGGTGTGGGATCAAAGGCGAGGATTCACGCTGCTGGGAAGCGGTGCAGCAAAGGACTTAAAAGAGCCGAACTGGTTGGAAATAAAAAAAGGATCCAAGCCTCATCCTTTCTGCTCCTCGGCTTGCAAACCATCACGCGAAAAACCCTGTTGTCTTTGCCCACCGGTGCCTTCAGATGTTTCTAGCAGGACTTTGGGAGGTCACAGTGCACGCTGTGAAGGGCTCTCCTTCTTCTTTCCTTGCCCGCTGCCTCCTGTACGAATACAAATAATGCCTTTCAAATTAAGACACCCTCATTTCATCATCATCATATGGGAGCTCCGTAGGCTCCATAGGTCTGACTTGTAAATGCTTTTGACTGTCCAGATAAAGATTATCAGCTCCTGTGCCGCGTGTGTGGTATATAACAAGTATTTCCCAGGAATTCGCCTGCTCTTTGAAGAGAGAGCTCACACCTAGCGAAGTGGCAGTACATTAAGCACCCTTTACTTCACCTCAGGATGCTTCGTTTCTTGCTGAAATCTATTATTTTGCAGTTATGCCAGGCTTAGCTCGTCTTAGTGCACAAATGAGACATCGATTTCCATGTTTGCTCAAAGCCTGAAGCGCTAGCCTTGCTCTACAGCACACCTGAGGATTTGCTGTGTGTTTTTTTTTTAAATCTGGTCTTTTTTTAAGTCCCTTGGTGAGTCCTGTCTGTCTTTCAAAACATACCCAATTTGGGACATAATGCTTGGTTTCCAAGCTCTCCAAAAAGAGGACACAACTGGCTCCCAACTCCGCCGCCTTGCTCAGGAAATTCATTTCAAATCCCAGCTCGTGCATGGGTCATGTTTGGACTGAAAAATTTCTTGCTGCTGGCCATACGTGGAGACTAATAACCTGTTCTGTTGTTGCATGAAGTCATCGAGTTATTCCTTTTTGAACCTTTTCCAGCTTTTCACAGCGAGGTGAGTGTGTTCTGGATGCTTAATCTGCCTACGTTCACAGCAGCCCCTCTAATTCTTAACAAGCATTTACGTCCAGAGGTTCATGGACCAAGATAGACAAATGGTCTTTGCGCATCCAGAAACGTTGATTTGATAAGATTAATGATACTCCACATTTCTGATCGATGTAGAGATAATCCTTCATTTTTTTTTATACTGGTTTGGCGTAAATAATCGTGAAAACGTGGCAAGGAAATGCCCTGGGGTTTTGGGGAAGAGCAGGAAAGATTTTAAAGGTTCAGCTCAAGTTTGGCTAGATCCGTTGCGCCGATATCGCTTCTCTCTGAAAAGGTTCATCAGATACAGTTGATCGGGGAGGGATCGACCGAAAGCTGTGTGGTCTGCAGCCTGCAAAGGGGATCCCGATGGAATAGGAAGGAAATATTTCCTTTCTGTGAGTCGCCCCTTGGCTGAAGTGGGAAGGATTTGAGCTCTCGCCATTCCTGCTCTTTCCGAAGCAGAAGAAAGAACGAGGAGCCCGGCAGCACGTTACTCATCGATTTTCCCGGATCAAAGGGGCACGTGTTAAGCACTATTGATAAAAACCATCGCCGTGGTGTCCATGGAGACCAAGTTGAGGTGAAGTGAACTGTTGCTGTTGCAGTGACAGCTTTGGGTGGGTCTGGAAAGAACCCCCCTTTTCCTCTAATCAGAAGAAAGATTTATTTTTCAATCTACAGATCCTTCCTGCAACCTGCGTGAGCTGTGCGGACGGTCCCTGAAAGCATTTCTACCCCTCCACTTCTTGTTTCTTCTCCATACATACTTCTTATCATCTCCAGCTTTTCAGGATGCCCCAGGTCCAAGGGTAAATAACTTTAGGGGCGTTCTGCTTTCACTCTTCCATGCATTGCAGGTAGCAAACGAGTTACCCAACAGCGTCCTCGGAGCTGTCAGCAGAAATGTTTTAAAGGCTCTCTCGGCGTGCTCGCATTCCCCCATAAACGTTTTATATGGGGGCAATTTCAATATGCAAAGCGACCAGATCTGTTTTTAAAACAATCACTCTCGCAATTGAAAAACGGAGTTGGCTCTGCCCTAATGTCCGAACCCCAGCGTTATTTCACTCGGCGCTGAAAACCCGAGGTATTGATTTTGAAATGTATAATTGATTGTAACCATAAATCACGGGGCAATATATGGGCAGCATTGATTTTTTTCTATTGCAATAATTAATTTGGTATGAGCTATAACGTATTTATGCAGGGCCTAAGCAACTCAATAATGGTAATAAATTGTGTTTGGTCAAAAACTATCCACTGTGATGTGGTCAGCTTTTCTCTTTGTCTAAAAATGCATAATGAGGTGCTGTAAGAGCCGGTGCGGAGATAATTCCGAGGTCTTGCTCCATCAGAAACCCTTCACACCATGAAGACCTTATATCCTGGTGGGTGAAACCCTCAAAGGACCGGAGACTTGCAGGGAAGTGCTGGTGCCCAGATTGTTTTAGGAGAAAAAAGGTTGATGTACAATATCAGCTCTCTTATCAGTCCGGCCCGGTAAATCGAGTGCTTTTCCTGGGCAAACTGATAGAAGCTCTAATAAAGAAGAGAATGAATAGACACACGGATGGACGTGATATGATGGAGAGGAATCAATACGGCTTTTGTGGAGGGAAGTCCTGCTTCGCTTCCCTATTAAAGTCCTTGAAGGAATCACGGAGCGCGTGGGCAGGGAGATCCGGTTGATATCATTCTCTGGGGTTTCCTAAAGGCTTTCGATAAGGTCCCTCAGCAAAGGCTCCTGAAGAAATGAAGTTGTTAGAGTAGGAGAAAGGCACCTTTGTGATGAGCAACTGATGTGGTAGAGGGTGAAGGGAAGAGAGGCGTTGGCATTCCTGAGCTGGTGCACGGCGTGTTGAGGAATGGTCCCCCGTACAATCAAGACAAGCAAAGTTAAAACAAAATTAGTGATTGATCCAAAACTCTGAGAAATGCTCAGGGTGATGAGTGCTATGGGCAAAAAGATGAGATTTTGGCACTTTGGGCTGGAAAGTGAAACGAGTCGCAGTGTCTACTCAACCTTTATAGTATCATGGGTATTTTAGTGGCCTGTTGAAATGAAAAATTCCCAAAAAAAAGAAAATGTAGCCATAAAATAAAATAAATCCATTCTCTGTACAGCCATCCACTGCTGGCGAGTGCATGGTTTTCTTCATGCCATCACTTGAATCTTTTCCGATTTGATTTTGTCTCCTCAAAAATAAAAACTTGAATGAAAGTTGGTTTAAAAAAAAAAAAAAAGCCATTTTCATTTCTTTTTCCTTACTTCATTCATTTCATCTGCTTTACTTTTGTCATCTCCTTGAAGAAAAAAATAAAATAAAATTCAGCAGTAATATCTCTTCTTTTTTACAGAGTATCAAAGTTAGCTGGTTGCCTCCACCACCAGGCACTCAAAATGGATTTATTACGGGCTATAAAATCCGACACAGAAAGACTACCCGCAGGGGTGAGATTGAAACACTGGAGCCAAACAACCTCTGGTACTTGTTCACAGGTCAGTGTTCACATGGTACAACCTTGCAAGGTTTTGATGAATTAAATGCTTTGGGAATAAAATATACTTTCACTTCAAGGGAACATTGATTTCTTTGCTGGCAGGTAGCATTTATTGTGTTGTACAAAGACAGTCTTTATATTATGTTTTTTTTTTTTTTTACCCAATTTTTTCCTTATTTTATTATTATTTTTTTTCATATATTTGTCTCCTGGATTTTATCATTATCATCAGTGAATTTGAGGCCAAATTCCTCGTGTCCAATAGCTTCAACCTCAGATATTTTTTTTTACACCACTCCGTAAACATCCCCAATTTTCCTACGGGGGCAAAAATATCGATTTCCTCGGCTTCTATTTGAAGATTTTAGAGGGCAAATGCCTCCTCACAGAATAAAAAGTGCAACGGTGGATCATAACAAAACTGTAATTGCAATGAATGGAAGTAGCCAGGTGAGTGCTGGAGGGGTACCAGTGAATTCCAGGAGCTGAAAATGAATTTGGTTGCGTTCTTGCATTATGCCCAGACGTAAAAAGCAGCAAGGGAGAAAAATTAAACTTTGTCAACGTCCGTGGCATCTTTATAACCGTGCCTTCACCCCAAATCACCTGTTTTATGTTTCCTTTCACATATAAAGTGCAATCGGTGAGAATCAGAATTATTATTTCTGAATCGCGTACTTCAGAATGGAAATGTTCGCTTACCATTTTGGAAGGAAAAGCAGGATTTGGTTTCAAGATCAAATAAAAAGCAAAAGCCCAACTTTTTATTTATTTATTTTTAATGAGGGAGGCATTAAATATTGAACCCTCAGCTTGGTTGTCTTACCTCAGCTGCTGGCCCCGGTGCCTGCGGGATGATTTGTGGAGGCTGGTAACTAACAGCTGAACGAGAAACTCGTAGTTTCTGGGGAGAGATCGCATACCGAGGTCTTTAGCCAAGTAGGAAAGGAAAAAATTCCTGGCTAATAAAGCAGAAATAAAGTCCAAGTCCCAGAGCAAAGGCACAGACCTCTGACGTTCCCCATCCCCAGGGCTGGCGAGGTGGAAAGGCAGCGGGAGGTCACGGCCGTTGTCTGCTGGGCTGGGAGCACAGCACATTAATCTCCGTTGTGGTAGATCCCCACACCTCGAGCTCCTTCACATGAATTAATTTGGGTCTGGAGGGCTGCAGAGTCCTGTGGGACCACAGCCCCCAACCCTCCCACCTACCCCATCCACCACTCACCTCTACGCAGTGGAAAACAAAGCGCTTTGCTTCCCAAAACGTGGCAATTTGGGCTTGGGAAGGCAGTTAAAAAATACCTCCCGGCCTCATTATTACCTTCTGCATGCATATTTGTGATTGCCAGAGCCGCGTGCCTCTTCTAAACGGGCCTTTTAAATATTAACACGGCCACGCTTTAGATCTTCGCTGCCATCCTGCTTGGTAGGCAGGTGCTTTGCGGGATAATAAGAACATCTGCAACGGCACAGGAGTTTGGAGTCACAACGCAGGCCCTCGAATAGCTGCTAGCAATTTGAGAGTCACGTCAGCTAAATGTTAAAGCGCTCGTTTTAATTACGAGCGTTCTCCTCTGGAGAAGGTCTGCAATTAAATGGATTTTTTTTTTTTTCCTGTGCTTTTTTTTGCGGTCAGTATAGGCAAGGCAGAAAGGTAAACGTATATCCCCACCGTAGGGTCTTGGAGGTCCTGTGGCGCATCGAGCCGTGCTGCAGCGATTGTTTTCCTGATGGCTTTTAACCACAAAGGAAAACATCTGTTTGGGAATTCATGCTTATTTCATAATATTGGAAAGATTTAGGGTTGTGTTTCTTTTTTTTCTTTTTCCTGGACTGCATGCTCTGAAGTTAAAAACGCTGCTCGGTTGCTAACCTAGCCCCTAGCCTGCATATTTTATGCGTAAGGAGAGGGTTAGCTGGAGTTTTGTGCGTTTGGAAAGCAGGGAGAGCTGGTTTTGCGAAATGTGCAATTAGTGGCTTCGCTGTGTAAAACAATTCTTCAGTTTCCCACTAATTGGACTTTGTTCATTTTGTACCCAGGAGCTCAATGGATGGGAATTAGAGCCCTGCCTAGTCACGGGCCAGTGCAGCTCGCATTTATTTTTTAAAACCTCTCCTTTTGGTCAAAATCCTTTTTTTTTCCCCAGCGCCTTGCAGCGCCATCCCCAGCCAGGCTGGGAGACGCATTGGGTAAAGTCACAAATTGTTTGGTTTTCATCTTCTTTCCTTACGATTTCATTTGTGGTTTTTTTGTTTGTTTGTTTGCCAGGACTGGAGAAAGGAAGCCAGTACAGTTTCCAGGTTGCTGCCATGACGGTGAACGGGACCGGGCCGCCCTCGGACTGGTACACGGCAGAAACACCCGAGAATGATCTCGATGGTAAATGCATCTCTTAAAAGCTCTTGTCTCCAAAAACTTTCCAGCTGAGGGGTTTCACAGCCCTTGTCTTCTAGCATGAGGTTGGAGTGGCATTCCGGGGTCTCACCTGGAAACATCTGCCCATAAATGTTTTCTTCTGCTCTCGGATCTCTCATGTCTTGTGCTGTGTTTCTCTGTTACCACCTCGACCAAGGAGTCAGCAGCCTTTGGGATCATAATTCTGTGCCAAAATGTAGCTCCCGAGCATCGTGGCCACTTAAAATAACGCTGTGAAGTGGATCTGGAACTTCATAAACCATAAACTGTAATCAAAGGACCAACGAAAACGATGCCAGCAATCCTAATAATTCTCCAAGCAAATATTGAGATATGTTGAATACTTTTTCTTAGCCTTTATCTGCAGATTTTAGAAACGCCGGCTGGCAGCGAAGCTGAATAATTAGTGAAAGCTGATGAGATGCAGATACCTGAAAACCGTGGGCTTTGTAAATCAGTGCCGATGCTGACACAAAAGGGAAGGAAAACACAGAAATGAAAGGGGTAGATAAAAATGATGGGGAGATTTGAAGAAGTGGAGGAATAAAAGGAGAGTAATGAGAAAGTCTTACCTGAAAAATTAAGCAAAGTGCAAAACAAAATGGAACAAAGAAGCTGACAGATGGAAATCATGGCAAAACTACAATCCGTAAGAAGCAGAGATGCAGTAGAAAGGAGATGAAGAGAAAATGAAACTGGTGAAAATTGCTATGATTTTTACAACAAAATAAGTCGCCTCGAAAGGATCAAAGGCAAGCAGGATGAAAGAATAAATAAATAATTAGTTTAAATGCACCGTTGCGCTCGATAGCAGCTTTCTTTTGACTCGATGGGTTTCCTTACGATCTCAAAATCAACTCGAAGCATTCCTGCTTCGTGTCCTTTCCCCGTGTCCAATTTGACAGCAGACCGGGAGCGGCTGGAGTGCAAAACGGGAGTGCTCGTACAGGTGGTTTCTCATCAGCGATTTAAAGAATACCTCTGGACGGGTTGTGCCTGTGCCAGCGGATCGCAACCTGCCGTGGTGCGTGATGAGATCTTCCTCTAAGCCCTGGGGATAAATCCACTTTTTGCAGTAGTTACACAAAGCTCTGCAAGTGGCAGCTTAGAGGGGAACGTGCTGGAGCCCAGCTTGCTGTCTGCAAGTCCTTCTCAGCTGTTATAGCTCCTGCAAACTTCTCCTGCTTTCTCTGGAAGCCTGCTTGGCGTCAGCAGCACGAAGACGAGCAGCATCCTGGCGAACGGCGCCAACTCCCGATGGATATTCGTTTTAATTAGTGTGTTTTGTTCAAGTGATTAGAAATCCAAACATAGCCGCTCCTTCAAGGTTCCCTAGAAAGCTCGCCTGCCTTTGCTGACAGCTGGGATGGTTTTAAATATTTATTTTCAGCCTCGCATTTCGTACTTTAAAAAGAAATAGGAGAAAAAAACTAAAAATAGAAATTGAAAGCAACGCGTTCCCCAAAGGGTCGGATTTAAATAGCGGGAGCAAGGATGCAAGAGAATCTCTGATCAACTTTGTGAAGGTATCCTCCAGGAAAATGGGTTTATGATGCTTGGTTTCTGATTACTGCACCGAACAGATGGAAGCTGTTACCCGTATTAGATAGCGATATCGTTTAGCTTCAGCTCTAAATTAGTGCTTTAAGAGCATGACAAGCCAGACTGCTCTCAGGCTGCAATTTGTACTGGAAAGGGATCGGGGAAACGTCTCAACGAAACGGGATGGGTGAAAACTACCCTGACTTGGTAAAATACACATCCAGGAAAGTCTGAGAAAATTTAGCTCCTTTGTGATTTAGGACGAAGAGCTGATTTGGCACTTGAAGGAGGAGAATGGGACCTGAAAAACACTTCTCAGAAGTATTTCTTGAAGCCCAGAAGAACCAAAAGTAACTGTATTGACCTAGAACTGCAAGGAAATAGCCTCAAAAAGAAAGCAGGAATATGAAACGTGTTTCTATAGGATTTTTAATCCTGGGTATCCGAGTGCTGGTACACTGAATCAGCAAAGCATGCAGAGGCTGGGTGATGTTCCTGATGAATTGATGGATTAAGGTGCTTCCTGCATGTTATGTCTAACATAAGACCTGATTATGGGGAAAAAAAAGTTAATTCTGAATCAACTTTGGGTTGTTCTAAAGTTTGGAACTGTTTCAGAATGAGAAAATCGCCTCTTTTCCAGAAAAGGTTTAAAATGAAATTATTTAAAGTGTAATTAAAAGGATTTATGCAGAAAAATTATGCAAAAAAATGCGTTTTCAAAAAGTAGCTCTGTGTTTATGAAGCTTTAGTATTTGAAAAATGGTTCCAAAATGTTCGCTCCAGCTTCATTTCAGAGGCTTACGTCCCAAGAAGGGGATGAGAAGCGAAATTGCCTTTTGCTTTTGGAAAGCACAAGTCGTGATTTTGCTCTGAAATGCACAAATCGGGTATTTTAATAGCTTGAAATAAATAACACGGAATGTTTGAATGATGTGGTTTTAACCCCGGGGTTAGGTGGTGGTGTCTGTGCTGCGGTGAAAATCTCTGCACCGCGTCCGATGGACAAAATATCATTTGTAGGTCCTTTGAATAATTTGATGTCCTTTGTTGCCTGGGAATTCCTACTTTCAGGATCCTCAAGGAATTGCAGTATTGCGACTTTACCTTAACTTTTCATTTCAAGGCCTTAAATTAATATTTTTATCCTCGGGGCTCGCTTCCGTCGCTTGCTTTGCAACCAGCTCTGTTCAGTAACTTTTGGTTCTGCGCTGAAACAAAGTTTGGGAACGGACTTGGGGGGTAAATGGCATCTCTACCCGACTCACGGGGACACTCAGAGTTTCTTCTTTTTGTGAGTAGCTACGTCGCAGTGAGCTTTTCGTCAACCTTTAACCGAGATCCGTGCTTTGCAAGGTTAAGAAGTTGAAGGCAAAGGCTTTCTAAAGGGGCTGGGTGTTTCGGACTGGTAACGTACTAAGGAGACCTCCTGAAGATCCACCAGGCTTTCAGGCTCCCCTAAAGCCTTCATCAGCAGTCACCTGAAGGCACATAAAGCACCAAGGACGCACACACGTTATTGCAAAGTGTTAATTCTTCCTTTTTATTGCCTTTTCCAAGGTTTACAGTGGGAATGCTTCACAATCGGGAGGTGTCTTTTGTTGGAGTTTACGCCGTTTGAAGGTTTTTGCTGTTTCCTCACCCCGTCCTTGTTGCCTACGAGCTTTTGGCTATTATATTGCAAGCCTTTTTATTGGGGGGAAAATAGTAACTTGTCTCTTTCTGCTCTCAAAAAGACAAGCTACTGTGCAGCTCCTCTGAGGAGACTTGTGATATGGTAGCTGTGAGTAAACTCGAACAAAAGGCATTCACCTCACCTTTAAAGTAAGATCGGGCTCAGAGAAGGCAACAGGCTGCCAACTAGGCTCCAAGTGATTAATTGCTACTTAAAGTAATGAATTTTACCCGAGCATACCTGCAAATAAAACATCTCAGTCCATTATTTCATGTCGGGAATGTCGATGTGTTGTTTCAAAGTAAGAGAGGCATGTCCAAGAGTTCAAATCCCCTGCTTGTTTTCATGGCAAAGAGATAAATTCTTGCCAGAATATCCTAGCACGTCGCTAACGAAGTCAACCTTTTTGTTAAATGATGAGTGAGCACAGGAGGACTCGTGCAGTGAGCTGTCAGGATCCTGCAAATAGACCAGGGAAGATAAAAGTTGTCCTATAGGAAGTTCTTGTGCAGGTCATCTTTCGTTATCCTGTGTGTGTAGCTCCAAATCTCTCTTGTACATTTATACTAAAGGTGGAAAGCTCTAGGAGATTCTCAAAAATGGGCTCTTGGAAGGGAGGGATGTAGCTGAGAAATGAAGTTGCATGTAAGCTCTGCATGTAACCGAGGCATCTGGTCGTGTTGTGTGTGTGTGCGTGCCTGTTGTTTTCATTGAAATTAAATTTTTGATTCATATTTGAACGTTTTAAACTCAACCCTCGTGAATTGTAAAACTTCCTTGGAATGTTAATTCGTTTCTTTGTGTTTGAATCCCAGAATCTCAGGTTCCTGACCAGCCAAGCTCTCTCCACGTCAGACCTTTGACCACGAGCATCGTCATGAGCTGGACCCCGCCGCTCAACCCCAACATTGTCGTCCGCGGGTACATCATCGGCTACGGCGTGGGCAGCCCATACGCTGAGACCGTGCGGGTGGACAATAAACAACGTTACTATTCCATTGAAAATTTGGGTAAGTAATCGTTTTCGTTCGTAGTAGCAGAAAAAAAAGAGCTTCCTCTGAGATTATGCTAGCTGGTAAGTTTATTTTCAGGCTGTCACTGGTGCTTCCTCCATATGGTGTTCTCTTAGGCTGCCTGTGCTCTGCAATTCAGGTTTGGTTTCGTCTTTAAAACCTTGGACACTCTCAAACATCCCAAATTTCCTTGCTCAAATGCTAACTTTATTCAGTAGGTCGTGTCTCGTGCTCCTAATGCCGACTCCCACTCGCGCAGAGAGCTGGATCTGAAGATGTTTCTCCCCGGGCTGGTCCCCCATGTTTGAGTTGAATGGCAATCAGAAAACTCCTATTTTGTGTCTGTCAAAACATTGTCAGGAGAGGGGGCTTGTTCATTATTCATGGCACAGCCTCTGTGACAATTCATCTGAATTCTGAGCGTGATACGCAGGGACCTGGATCCTTCCACTGGTGATGGACCGTTCTCCTAGCGCTGGGAAAACAGTTCAAAGTTTAAAGGAAGGCTGAAAGTTTAATCGTTTCCTCGTCATTGCTTCTTTAGCGTTTTTATTTCAGGGAGAAGCGGTAAGTTTTCTGCTCCGTAATCCTGGGATGATCAGGTATTATGGGAATATTCATTAACTTGGTTCATTAGGGGGGCACAGCTCTGCTTTTTATCTTAATTCTATAAGGCCCAAACTCTTTGATATCTGGGGTCACTTCCCTTTGCTATTTGTACTTTATGAAACTGCATCAGCCAATGCTTCTGCTGTTTCCTTGGGGGAACTCGGGGAATAGACTGGAATAAAATGTTTTAATTGTTCCCCCGTGAAACACTTCCTCTATGTTCAGTGGTGTATTTTATGGTTAATGTATTTGCAGAGAGCCCTAAACTGCCCCAAATATTCATCTGCAGAAAAAAAAAGAAAGAAATTATATGGAGAGAACTACCCAGACCAATGTGCTTTGGCAAAGGTTGAGGAGATGCCTACAGAGCCCAGTCTGCTGGAGCTCCTGATGGTCAACTCTCCCTGAAAGTATCCAGATTAGCAGCTGGAGAAATGCCACGGGTTTTACGAAGCTTTGGAGTTTGGTTTTCCATATACAAATCTATTTGTGAATTTGTTTACTTCTTAGACCTCTGATAGCCGCTGCCATCAAGTGGAAGGTCTGCTAAGAAGCACTTGCAGATCCAAGAGCCTTCTACTAGGCTAACAGTACTCGGCACTGTGGAAAGCTCGTGGTATATTTCACTTCTTAAAAATGTTTCTGTGGATTAAAAGTTTTCCAATATTCTTGGCTGCACTGACAGGCAGAAATACATAGAAAGCCCAGCAGGGCAGGGAGGATATTTCAGTAATACACTTAGAGAAGTTGCACTCGGAGATCTAGCAGGTGTCAAGGAACTGTGTTGAGTGTAACAAACATTTATTTATAAATAATTTGGTTACCAAAATCAAGATTTTTTTTTGTTGTTGCTGTTTTTTGTTTTTTTTTTTGTTTGTTTGTTTTTTTGGCCGAAAATCCTCCAGCAGCCTGAAGTTTTACGAAAGTTATTCAAGTGGCAAGTATCTTTTCACTGTACATTTATTTTATTTTTTGTTTGATTTAAATATTCAGCCTGTGAGCAGTGGAACTTGATTGCCATTGTCCAGACAAGTCACAGGCATCTGGTCCCTGACTGGCTGCGGACGCGAGCACTTTGGTCGCAAATCCCGACGTGCAAATTTTAAATTCAACTTCTCGGAGCGTTCACATGTACAACTTTGAAAATCAATTTCCATGAATAATTGCACTAATTAAATTCCATCATTGAAATATCCACAGAAAACGAACCCCAGAGGGATGTGACCAAGGGCCCAGAGAAAGCTTTTAAAAAATCAGAGCAGTTGCCAACACTTCCTGCATTATTCACCGGCTTTATTAGAAACCATTACAAAAAAATTACATGAAATGACGAGAAGGAATTATTTTCCTAATAAAAATACTGTTTTCAATAAGGTTATGAATTAAGATGTTCTGCTGGCAGGTGGGGAGGAAAAATACTCCCTAGAGGTTTTGTTGGCTCCTCTCCCCAGTTACAGCTGTGACACCTATGCAGGAGAGGTAGGCGGTATCTTAAAAGTGATATGCAAAAGCAACAACAAAGTTAGGTACCTAAATAAATGATGAACTTCATTGCGTTTTTCTCTCTCCACTGAAGACTTTTGATCCTCGTGGCTTTTAGTGTTTGCTTCCTCTTGGCTCTCCTTGGTCTTGGTAGACAGAGATGGGGGAGAGGATGCTCCACTTCAGCCGAATGATGCACGTGGCTGAAAAAACTGGGCCTTTGCATCTTCCCAAAGTTCACTGCAGTCCTTTTTATTTTATTTCGGTATGCAATTTTGAAACGCTCTGCAAACCTATGTATCATTCATATGTTAGACTGGCAGGTACCTGCATTAAGGAGCAATCAGGTTTGTCTGCCATCAGCTCCCTTTCAGAAAGCCTGGCCGACTCGCATTCACAGTCACCGTTTTCACACACACACATGCATAAACCAAATATTTCAGGTCCGTGTCAGGCATTAATTTCCTTCCATAAGCATCTCCCGTAGGCCTGAGAAAAATGATGGGGAAGAACTCCCTGGTTAAAACTCACGCAGGGATGCAAAACGCCTCGCACCATGATATGGGTTCGTACATGCATCCCCGCTCTTTTTCCTGGCAACAGTCTTTGTGTGGGGTTTTGTTTGGTTTCCTCGGTGTTCAGCGCTGCACAAAAGCACCACCTGGATATCTTCCCGAAGATCTTACAGCTGAGAGATTGGCAAGTGGGATGTACACGGGTGTTGAAAGCTGAAGTTAGCAGCCCCCGTGGCACTGCCTCGTCGGCCCTATTCCCCTTCCAGCATTTGCAATGTGGTTGCCCTGGAAATTCCTGCCTTAGTGATCCCTCTTTGTCTGCCTCTTCCTGCCCTAGATTTGCGATATGGTTGCTGTAGCAATCCCTGCTCGTTCAATATATAATGCTGATATTTCTATGGGTTTTGTTCCCCCCTTCCCTAACTTGTTTGTGCAGCCGCGGGGCATTGTTGGCTACCTGCTTTTAGTAGTACGATTGCTAGAAATTTCTGGAAATACAGTCATTTGTTATAGTATGAATCGTTGTGCTAAATTCTGCTGGTTATTTCCAATCCAAAATCACTTCCTAGCATCATACAGCGAGGTTGGGGCAGAATCAGAAACAAAACGTAGCCCATGCTTTAAGCCAAGGACCGATCATCTCTCTGCAGTCAGCTGGTAGCTTTCCTTGTGGCCATGGCACGTCCACATTCACTCCTGAGATGTTTATGATCAACGAGGACTAATGACAAACTCTCTGGCCTGCTCTGAGTATTTATTTTACTCCACTTCAGGTGAGCCACATCAGTCCACGTTGCTTCTTTAGTCCATCAAGCATGAGAAGACGACACCAGGGGTGGTTCAGTCCACCCAAGAGCTCCATCTTCTCATCCTTTCTTCTCCCCGTTGACAACTGCAGACGCCCATAGCTGTAACTTGGCCATGGTGTGCGTGGTTATGCATCCATCCTGGAGCTAATTCTGAAATGCCAAATATATTTGCACCTTCAATCTGCTGCTAATGATTGACAAAGAACGCTGAGTACTAGTTCCGCCTAGTGCTTAGAGCTTTTGGATGGAAGACAGCTATCAGTTCCTTTAGAAATCCTATTAGATACTTCACTGCACCTCCGTAATCCTAAATTTCAATTTTAATTTTAAATCTCTGCATGAAAGTACGGGGCTTGGATGCAACAGGAGACCTGCTGAAGTAGATCCCTCCTTAGGGAAGGATGGAGACCTACTCGCTTACGGAGTGGCCTCCTTCTTAATTCCTTCCCTCTTGATAATCATACTGATACGCACACTTCATCTGCCAGCTTTGCATCATATTTGGGGTACTTAATTGATCACTTCCATCAAGCAAAACTTTTCTAAGAAGCGGCTCAGCCTGCACCCGGGCTGTTAGAGCAGTTGTCTGAGTAGCACACTTGAGCTGCTGAATAAATCACTTGAAAAACACGAAGAAAAGTGCTCAGCCTTTCATAATAGTGATTGAGAACTTTATTCCGTCTGATGATCATCTTGAATACGAGTATGTAGAGGTTACACTTTCTCTCTGGAATGAATTAAATAGGGTGATTTTCTCATGACTGAGTGGTCATATTGCCTGGGAGACACACTCACCGCGGGCACAGAAGAATCGAAGAATACACAGAGACTTCAGCTTTGTCAGTGAAGGATTTGTTGTGTTTTCTTTCTGCAGCGTATGAACGATATTTGATGTCGGTCTCATAAATTTCAAGCGTCCCCTGCTCTTATTCAACCTTTTCTGTGACAGAAAAATCAGTGCCCGACTGACTTTCAAATGAATAATTCTAACGAGGAGACGCATTTCTGGAGAACCACTTCATCCATTTATTTATTTATTACTTTTTTTTTATTATTATTTGTTGCTTGCGATTTTAAATGGAAAGGTTATTGGCTGATTAATGGTGGTGTTTTAACGATATTGAAGAAGTCACGGGTGCCAATTCTGATCTTTTACGCGTAAGAAGTAACGATTTCTGTGCTGATCCAACTCAGGAGACGGTACATGTAGCAATGAACCGGCAGGGCTCATCTCCATGGAGCTTTGTATTAAAGCTTGCTCGTGAAATAAATGCTTAAATGAAAAGGGAAGAGGCATGCCAAGGAGATTTCCATTTACCGATTCTGCAAACATAAAGCCCGGAGTATCTGAAACAAAACACCAGCTGTAATAATTTGCATAAACCTTTTAGTAGGTCGTAAAGCTCTATTTTTAATTAATATATTGAAAAATTAAAGCACGGTAGCTTTAGAATAGCATATTCCGATAGGCTGACAACGTTATTATATCATTCTGGGATGTTTTGATAACTCACTGTGGAATATTTTAATAAATGACAGTGATAATGGATAGAAGTAGCCTCCCTTGGCCTCCTTGTGCTGG